CGGGACCAGGCAAAAATTATAATACATTGCTACTAAACATTAGTTTTATTTACTGTGTCACATCAAAGACATGCTTGCAATAATGATTACCCCTTTTTTTTTCCCAATGCAATATTCTTTTTCATTCTAATTCTTCATTCTGAGCAGTTTATGTACTTGTAACATAACTATAGCCTGCATTAGGGAGGAGTGAAAAGCATACAGTTCAAAGCCATTATGGCTCTCTCTGCTCTGTGGTACAGAGCCTAGCTTGTGTGAGTTGTTGTAGCTTTATTAAGGTCAACGTTCCAGCAAGCAGAAGAGCAGCTGATGCTCCTGTGGTTTTAATCTGAACGCACTCATGATTTCCTTCTCATCTGCCTTCCCTCACATACTAAACATTTATATTTCAGAATTGCATGCTTAAAATTTCAGCTTTTAATTCACATGCAAACACTTAAAAGTTTTTATTTTTAAGGTGTTTATGCCATCTCTGGCCCCTGGGAAAGCAAGAAAGGAATCCTGGCTGGGAGAGCAAAACTTTAGCAGGCATCAATCCTTAAGCTTTTAGCACAGAATTGGAATTTCTTGATTTTTTTTGCAGCTCCCCTTACTACATGCAACATCACTATAGTGCTATTCTTAGAAGATATTTCAGGACAAATTGCTGAAAAAAAAATGAAACTGGTGACAAGAGGTTGCTAATCACTCAAAGGAATTAATAAATCAGGCAAGGCAGACCTCACCCTTTTCCTTTATAACAGTACTCTGGCCAAGTGCCTCAAGCACACCCAAGTATCCATGAGCATCTGTCAAGCCACTGTAATTGTGTGGAAAGAACTGGGGGCTGAAATGAAGACAATCAGTAGAACTGTGAATCCAGTTGTTGATGGGTGATGTGGGGAGATGGGATTGTGGAGCATGTTTAATCAAATCTAGGAGTGGAGTTTGAGACTAAAGTAACACAACTCTGCCAAGGTGTTTGGCATCAGATGAAGGATGATGCTGCTATGAACAAAGACCTTATGTTTGTTTGGGGCTATATTAAAACTAGTACTAGAACTGGAGTTAGTGTAAAGCTTTCAGAGAGTAAGAACTGAAAAGATGGTTGTGTTGCTGAATGCCAGTGCTACCCCCAGGGCCAGCAAATGCGTGTTATTGAAGGTTGCTTTACAGATGGATATGTTTTGTTGAGACACAATAACATCTGGGGCAAAGGTGAAGGAATAAGATGAGCATGATCTGAATTTAATATGTTCATGGATTTGATTGGACTGGTAGTTAGGATGAGAACCACCCTGAGGGATGCAGAGCCAGAAGTCAAGGGAGATGCTGGAACCACTAGGGAAGGGGCTTTGCCAGCCAAAGCTCATCATACCACTCCAGTGGGACAAGCATGGTACCCAGGGGTGGTACCCAAGGCCAAGCTGGGAAGTCAGCTTGCTGGTCAGGGTTACAATCATGTCTGATGAGGGCAATCAGGGTCAGACACAGCCCAGTGGTTCCTGGACAGGTTCAAAGTCAGGCTGGGAAGTCCTTTTGTGAAAGAGTGTCTGAATCAACAGGGTTCATGGCCAGACATGGGCATGACTGTGGCTGAGCTGGAGACTGAAATGTCTATAACATTGTCCATTGGGTAGGGTCTGACAGTCCCCAGGTTAGCTGAAAAGGGGATCTTGGGCCATAGGCAGGGGTGGGGAAAGGCCCCAGGTGAGGCTGGTCAGGGCCATTAAAACCTATTAGTGTCCTTGAGGTCTTGACAGTAGAGATGGTGAGTTACAAGAGTCCCTGAGCTATCTTTAGGGTTCAGAACTTGGACTGAGGCTCAAGACCAAAACTCCATGAAATCAGGATGTGGGCAGCAGCAGCATGAGTATGTCTGTGGAAGATTTCACCAAAATATAGTTAAGTTCCACTCAGGGAATAAGTGGTTAGTAAAAGGCATGGCTCTCACCTGGTTAGTCAACATCAGAGGATCTGCTAATCTAGCTGGCCCTGCCCAACCAAAACTTTTACATACAGTAGAATCCCTGTAGTGCACATAAAGAATATGCTGTGGACATACTGGGCACAGATGGGGTTATGCATGCCTTGGGCAGAGGCAAACCCATCTGTGGATTGCCTTCCTCAAGGACATGGGTGCACTTGGTGAGTAATGTGGAAGGATTAGGAAGTCTGATGTGTACCTCAAAGGGATTTGATTTTGGATGAGAATAGCCACTGATTTGAATTGTATGTTTATTGCTGTATGATAAAATATGTCATCACTACTATAGTTGCTGCATGTCATATCAATGGTATTACAGTAAGGGTGAGAATTTACCAGATTAATGAAAAATGAATTCTGATGAAACTGAGCAAAGTACACCAGTGATAGAACTGAAAAAAACATAGCAGTGATGGAAGCAGAACTGGCTTCAACAGTGTTTAGTATATTAATTCATGTTAGTAAAATAAAATAATTTTCTTGCAGCACATGCTCATATTTGGCAGCCTTTTGGCTGCCAAAGGGCTCCTTCTTCTTTTGGTAGTATCCTGATGATGCTCCTGGTGACATCTACAGAGAAAAGCACAAGACTTTTGCAGCCCTCTGTCTGCAATGTGAAATGTCTATTGCTGTCAAAAGAGAATATCTCTGTGGCTATCACTGACACCTTGACAGGAGGAAGGAAAAATAAAAAGTATTGACGCACATGAATACAAATGCAAAATTAAACCACCTCAGAATAGTTTTTAGTAACAGAAAGTAATTCTTTTGACAAAATGTATACACATGCAGAACAAGGCACAGAGTTTGTGGAATGGTTCTGCAGTGCTGGTCATGAGGATAAATGTTACTTTCTTTTTAATTCTCCTGGACTTCTTCTAGGTTCTGTTTCATATTCTTATGAAGGAAAGAATACAAAAAAATGGTCATTTTGGATGTATAGATGTTATTGAATAAAGCCTTATTTGTTGTAAGTTGATTGAGTTTTACTTTAAAATATAGCAAAACTCTTCACAGGTTTCACCCAAGATACTGCTGAAGTATCTTCTCCCCTGCAGTGGAGCCTACCAGTTCTCATCTGACTGCCATAAGCATTTATTTGCAGATATTTTGGATACGCTTCCTTGATATTTAACCTTGTGTTGTTCAATTTGGCTGTGGAGGTTGGAGTTTGGTTTCACTAGGCAGGATATCTCAGTACAGCAGACATTTGGGATAGCATTTTTTAAAGTGTCATGTTATGGCTATATGGTGAATCCCCATTTCAATTTGCTGTGTTCCTTTATTTAGCCAGAATGTATATCATATGCAATAGCATGAGCATATGAGAGTATTCTGAAGTATGCTAGAATGAGGACATGCAGTAATGTAACTGCTATTGAAAACGGCAAGTTGGAAAAGCATTTTCTGTTTTTTGACAGATCCCTATTGCAAAGAAAGATATTATAGGAATCTGATCAAAACTCTCTTGATATCAGTAGGGATTTTCCCATAAACTTATTTAGCTGTAGGTCATTCATTGGATTATGAATGAGCTTGCTGATGAAATGATGTAATATTAATGACTCTGCCATTAGTGCAGAAATAGCAGAGGTGAAGGAGATGTTTTGAGAAGGTTATGCCATTAAGTCAGCACTATTGATTTTTACCAAGTAGCCTAACAACTGTGCTCTCCCCAGATATGAAAACACAATGTTTGGTCTCTGCTCCCCTAAGCAATGTCTAACAGCAACTAAAGTTGCTACAACATGCAAGAAATAAACACAGAAATAAAAAATAAACAATTGAGAATAACTGGAAGAAATTAACTAGTCCAGCGGGGAGCCAAGCCCCATTCCTGGTTTGATTCCAAAACTACTTCATGCAGACAGGATGGGTACAGAAACTTAGAGATTTTATCCCCTTCAAATCTCCATTCATCACAGACAAACCTGACCTAACCAGTTTGTGCTGATCCAGAGTGTCCAGTTATTAACAGAACAGTTTGTTTGTTTGTAGTTCCTGGACTCTGCTTCTGCTTCTGTTGAATGCCTTTCAAGGAGAGAACTGGGACAAGGGGTAAAGATCAGGCTGCAACTGAAGGTGATGATTTAAGCATTTTTTCCTAAAAGGAACTTTGTGCCACTTGTGAAATGTGTCTGGTTTTTATCTTTGCCAGCTGCCAAAACCAGGCACTTACAAAAGCTTCAGAAACAGCAAGCTCTATTCCCCCCAGTCCCTCACCTTTTGTAAGCTTTTCATGTAGACATCTAACACTTCACCTACATATGTGTCTGTAGCTGTCAGGCAGCATGAAGTGAAATCCCAGGCAGACTGGGCAGCTGGCAGGGCAGAGCCAGTATCCAGCCATGACTTCTGAAGGGTTTACACCCTGCAGAGTGGGGCACAACTGTTGATGAGTGGTCAAAGGCAAGAAGAGGATTAATCAGGAACAGACACAGATGGCAATCTAGGCCTGATCAAGAACATGAGTTTCTTATATTAAGTTGGATAATTGAAAAAGAGAGAGGAAAAGAGAGGAAAAAAATCTCTAAAATGGAGGTTGGTTTGTTGTTGGTTTTTTAACTTTCAGAGGCACTTAGGCAGAATGAGAGAAAAGCCAGTCCTCAAACATGAACGCCTACAATGGCAAGTTAATTGAAACATGTAATTTATATGTCAGGAGTGATATGAATGTTGGAATAAGCAAACATAACCTATACAGCAAAGCCCCTTCTCTTTCCCCCAAACTGTAGCACTTCTTACATTTGATTGTTCCGTGTGAGTTCTACAGATTGCTATATCAATACATAAAATATTTTGTGAAAATTACAGGTAATAGATACCATTTTCCAGTCAGATCCTTACAGAAGCCACTGGTTTATTGTCTGCTGTCCTCCATGGAGAACTTTGTGTTTAGGAAATGCTGATGGCTGTTTTTCTAACAAAACTCAAAAAAGGTGATATAGGGTTTTTTTAATCATCAAATTAATTATTTTTATTTGCTGATGATCCAAAAACTCCAAAAAGATGCATAAAAATGAAAGAACCGGCTATGCAGGTACTTGCTTGCTTTCATTTTCACTTGGAAGAATGACTGCTATGCTTTCCTCTAAATACTGCAAGGAAATTGCTCCTGTGAGAATACTTGGAGCAATCATTTTCATCCACCTATAAACTGGATTTCATTGGCAACCTGTAACTACAGTGTAATGCTGTTGGTTTCACAGATACTAAGGATGTGAATATAGGTTTACAGTGCAGTAGCTGTAAAATGGAGTGCTTCAATGTACACTGCTCTTTTCTCTAGACATATTTCTTTCCTACCTTGAGCAGGGTAATTTTATTCTCCCTGGATACTAAGAGCCATATTTTAGGTTAGATTCTATGACTGGGAGGGAGGGATCAAGCACTTACATTATTATATTTATATGCAGATTACACCACCTTGACTCAGAGTGAAATTAAATTAAAAAGCTGCTTACCTATTAGCTCCTTCCCCACAGCAGACAGCAAGGAAGGACAGAAATGGACTTTTCTTTGAGTTCTATCTCATCATTTGCCTGTCATGCACTATAGGTCTGCTCAAGTTGTTTTAAGATTTGCTGTTATACAGAAGCAGCAAACCATCAGCATAACAGGAAAAAGGAGGGAATTTTGATTCAGGCACTTAACTCTGAACCAAATATCTTCTGAAACAGCAGGTCTGCCTAGGGCTAAGGGGAAGGTTGCCAGACTCTGATATGTGTAGAAAGAGCATACACCCTGGGTGTAATAACACCACCCTGGGCAGTGTTGGGTTGCACAGCACCTCCCCAAATTCTCTGGCAAGTAGCTGTAGCCAGCACAGCATCCTCCGAGATATCATTTGTCTGCCTTCTTAACTGCTACCAGGATGTTGCTAATCTGTGGAAGAGAAGGGAGATATCAAACCTTCAGCTCTGACCGCTGAGACTGAGGTACCTCAGTATTCTTTAGGTAAGTGGAGAAAGAAGGCTTTAGCTCCCTTTTTCACACCAAGCAGTTCTCAAAAGGTCTGATAAAAGGTAAACCTGAGATTTCAAGCACTAGTGAGAGAAGCAAGAAGTGGAATGTTTTTCCCTATGACTTCCCTGAGTAAATATGGGGTTTGCACTCTTCATTACAAAATGCAAGGGCAGACATAAGCAATGTATCCTGAAGTGTGGACTTAAAAAGACAGTAAAAATAGCTTGGCAGGTAACAACATGGAACAAGTCTGAAAACTGTACTGCTTAAAAGAGAGAGGCAGCAGTAAAATTAATTTAAATTATATAGAGATGAACATTCTGAAGGACGCACATTGCAGGCAGAACTATCTTTAGATGGAATGTTTTCCAATTTTGAATGTCCTCTGAAAGTGTTTGCGTTAGCAGAATCTTCGTGAAAAACTAACCCACAATCTTTTCCCATTCACATCTCTGCTCTTTATTCCAGGAGAAACTCTCAGCCATTTAGATATGAAAAATCCCAAGGGGTTGCACAGAATCCAAGCAATGTAAAAATGAAAATAGTTGCAGGGATGCAACCCTAAACCTCCACAAAGTGTTAAATTCATCCCTGGACCAAACTGAGATAAGGCATTGTAATTGAATGACTCCCACTTCTATGGTCACAAACCCGTGTTTCAAGAGCCACTTTTTATTGTTACTTTATTACTATAAGCCATTTTACATACATACTCACTTTAGTATTTAGCTGCTTGGACTGAAAGATGTGGAAGTCCTATATGATAGATTTCGTTCATTTGTGGTTTTCCTCATCTTCTCATAGAATATACTATTTCAGGTGAGTTCAGCAAAATTTGCTGAGACCAGTTTTATTCACACTTAAAAATCATTTCTATTTCAGTTCACCATTTGCCTAATCTCCCTGCTACTGTGCCATGGCAGAGCTGCTATTGTAGATAAGAAGGGACTTGGCATAAACATGCATAGTAATATCAACAATAACCATGGGTCCCAAAGCCTTCCACTAGCATTCTTTCCAGTGTCAAATGTCTATGGTTACCTTTTGGGTACCCGCAGCCCCTGTCTCTCCTAACAGCATCTCTTCTGCCAGCAAGTCACTGCCTGACAATTTATTAGTAGTTCAAACTACATGAACTACAAACTACATGCTTAAACAAGTACATATTATTAATGAAGCTGCATGGTACTACCTTGTGCAATGTATACTACTAAGGAGACATACAGGAAGGGTTAGGCAAGGAGAAGGCAGGCTCATGATTCATATTATTTTATTCAAGGGCAAAACTTTCATGCCACACCTCCCTGAGGAATCTTTGCAATGTGATTCAGGTTATATTGCAGCATTTCACAGAAACATATCATAGAATGGTTTGGGTTGGAAGTAACCTTAAAGATCATCTAGTTTCTATCCCCCTGCCATGGGCAGGGATGCCTCGCACTAGACCAGTTTGCTCAAAGCCCCATTCAACCTAGCCTTGAACCACAGCTTCTCTGGGCAACCTGTTCCAGTGTCTCACCACCCTCACAATGAAGAATTTTTTCCTAATATCTAATCTAAATCTACTGTCTTTCAGCAGCCTGATTTTTCTATCAGACTGCAAGTAGATCTCTTCATCACAGCACATCTTGTGACTGACCCCATTCTCCTGTTTAGCCTGGAGAAGAAATGACTAACATGGGATCTTATCAGTGCATACAAATATCTTAATGGCCACTGTCAAGAGGACGGGGCCAGACTTTTTTCAGTGGTGCCCAGTAACAAGATAAGGAGCAACAGGCACAAACTGAAACACAGGAAGTTCCATCTGAATATGAAGAATTTTACTGTGAGGGTGGCAGAGCTATGGAACAGGCAGCCCAGAGCGGTTGTGGCATCTCCCACTCTTAAGATACTCAAAACTCACCTGGACATGATCCTGTGCAACCTGTTACAGGTGAACCTGCTTTGGGAGAGGGGGTTAGACTAGGTCCCTTCCAACCCCAGCCACTCACTCTGTGTTTCTGTGATTCTTGTCAGCCAACACCCTCAAGTCTCTTCTTGATTCTTATCTCAACCTATTCTCCACCTAGCCTCTGTCTGTGCTTGGGATTGCCCTGACCCATACACAGGACCTTGCATTTGACTTGAAGTGCCCCAAAACCACCGTGCTGCTGTGTGAACGTTTTGTCTTATTCCATAGGAGCTGTGGGAAGAAACCTGTGCCAAATACCAGACCTTTTCCAGGCATTTCTCTGCACAGCATGGTGTCACGCACAATAACAAAAAACAAATCTCAGTTTTGCAATAGTAATGGCTTAGAAGGCACAGTCTCTGTTTGCAATTAAGGTTGAGTAAAATATTTTCTTCTTCTACAAGATAATGCCTTAGTATAGTGCCATCCTTTTCTCAGCCACAATCACTTTTCACTTTTTCATCTCTCCCATCCAGTGCAAAGTCACCTGGCTAGGATTCATTACAGCAATTCCCAACAAGATACACATAAAAGTGCATTCTGTGTACCCTAACTGTCACCCTAAATACTTGCATTAACCAGTACTAGAAAAGTGGGATTCATAAGACGTTTGCCAAGGGACCCATTTCCCTGATAAAGCTACTTTTAATACTTTTTTAACAATTTGCTTATTAATGCAGTTTGGCACTAAGGAAATGTCTGTATTCAACATTCCTAAAAACTGCTTTTAACCAGTACAATAATTAATTAATGTTCACTGTATTTGTGTTTCTGTGGGGTTATCTGAACTGATATTATGCTGATTGGTTGATGTATTTATACATATAATTTCAAAGGTTGCCAGGGAAACCAAGAGCACTCCTTTTTCTAAAGAAAATAATTCCGATTAATTGTGCCAGTCATCATTTTTTAAACGTTTTGCAAGTGATCAGTAACATAATTATTCTAGGAGAATATAGCCTTTAATATTTATTATTACATTCCTAACACTTTAGGTAAAAAAGATTCCTAGATGACATACTTGGAGCACCACAGCAGTAGTAGTTTAAATACATTAATCATATGCACATCTGTTTTATGGGTTTTTTTTCTAATGTCACAACATTAAATATGTTGCTCCTGTGGATGATCTTACTACTGATTCATAAAACTGACCTTTAAAAATTAAAAGCAGAAAAAAAACCTCCATTTTAGGGCAATATCTGGAACATATTTCTGAAAAGTGGTTAGGCCCTTAGCTCCGACCCAGGCGATGTTTGTAAGCCTGCGTCAAAACTATGATCCTGAAACCCCCGTCACAGCTGAAAGGTCAAATGACTCTTCCCTCCCTTCCCTTTGGCTCTGCCTGCCTGTGTGCTTGTAGCAGGCTGACCCTGGCTGGCAGCAAAGCCCTACACAGCGCCTTGCTCACTGTAACCCATGTGCCCCGGAGATGGAAGAGTAAAAGTGAGAAAACATGGGCCAAGATAACTACAGTTATAGGTAAAGCAAAAGCAGATCAACGGAGGGGATTACTCCCCTCTGCTCAGCTCTTGTAATACCCTACCTGCAGCACCACTGTCAGCACTGGGGCCCCCAACACAAGAGGGATGTGGACCTGTTCGTGTGAGTCCAGAGGAGGCACAAAGATGACCAGAGGCTGGAGCACCTGTCCTGTGCAGACAGGCTGAGAGAGTTGGGCTTGTTCAGTCTGGAGAAGAGAAGACTCAGGGGAGACCTTAGAGCAGCTTCCAGTGCCTAAAGGGGCTGACAAGAAATCTGGAGAGGCACTTTTCACAAGGGTATGTAGTGAGTACAAGAGGGAATGGTTTTAAGATGATTTAGATCAGATACTAGGAAGAAATCGCAAAAATACATAACCACAAAACCAGGTAATCTCAACAATATTTAACCAATAAGGAACTGCTTGGGAATATTTTGGGTCAAATTATGCCATTTACAGTCTCTCATGAAGAAGGATTTGACACATGAATATGGCAGGGCTTTGGAATGTAGTAATTGATTGAACAAAATGTCAGGCAGTATTTAACTGTTTGACATAAAGAACTGCAGTCAGAGGAGAGCTATTTGATACAATAGCTACTTTTGTTATTTCACTGTTGAAAAGGAAGTAAAGAGAG